CACAAAGGATAATCAGATTTTATTTGTAACAAAGCAAGTAAGAATCAATGTTATAGAAGGCGCTAGGCGTTTGAGCCGGCGCCTAGGCGTTTGAGCCGGCGCCTAATCGTTTGGCTATTGTATAAATTATTTAATTATAATAATTGATAAAAAAATATATAATTCATATAAATTTGTAAAAAAAAAGATAGCAATCTTAGATCCACAATAAACCATGCATACTTAAATACTAAATAGTTAAAATAATAACTAACAAGATTATAGAAAGCGTTAGGAGGCCTAGGCATTGGACCCAATGCCTGTAGCGTAGTAGTTTTTTTAAATTTTTTAATTGTAGTTTTTTTAATTTTTTAATTACAATAATTGATAGTAAATATCAGTATTATAGAAAGTTTAGGTACCAGACTGGTGTTTAGGTGGATTTTTTTCTTTATTTAAGTGGTGATTGAAGAGGTTTTGCTGAAAGTCGGAGGAGATAGTAGAGGGGTTTATATTTAGAGGTTAAAGGAGGTTGGAGGACGTGGAGGCTGTAACACAGAAAATCACAATCAATGTCTAAAGGGTGTAATCCACGTAAGCAGACAATGCTCCCCTAAACACTCCCAAAACCTAGGCGGACAATGCTCCCCTAAACACTCCCAAAATCTATATAATGCACTTAGGATGTGATATACTAAAGTAGTTAAGTTTCGAGAAGTTTGTTTACTCTCACATTATGTAATTGTATCTTACTCACTGTTTTAAAAAACCTACGCCTAGGGGACAGCCTAGAACTGCCCAGGTGCTATGCGCTAGTTAGGCGGTCTAGGTAGGCCTAGGCGGACTAGGCGGAGGTTTTTTAAAACAGTGAGTAAAATACAATTATATAATGTGAGAGTAAACAAACTTCTCGAAACTTAACTACTTTAATATATCACATCCCTAAGTGCATTATATAGATAGTATCTCCGATCAAACTGTGGATTTACGTGGCCATATTTAGGATTTCCTAGATCGCTACGTTGGGTTCATCTTGATGAAGATTATGTTTCTTTATCTTTCTATATCAAGTAACTTTGTTTTTGGACTTCTGAAAGTTCATTGATGATAATAATTTATTGCTTCCAAACCATATTCTTTATCAATAGCAATAATTTCTGTTAGGTTGCTCTACCGAAATTTTGCGGTAATGGTTTCTCGTTACTGTTTGCATTAGAAATTAAGCTTCGTTTTCTAAAATTTCCTTGGATTTTATCATTTTGACCTTACTGTATGAACTTGATTAATTTCTTGATCTATTTCCAGCACGTGCCTCTGTTCTTTTTCATTTTTTTCCACCAGGAATTCGATCTTCAATCTGTTGCATACTTTCAAACACACGCATAATTACATCTTAAACTAATTTGGTGTCTTAATTATGTCTTCTACTATGTCATTCATCTTTGTTTAAGAAGCAAAAAACTGATGATCTTGCAGGCTGACCCTAACATGGATGTTCGAGGTAGGATGGTAAATGCTGGCATCATGATTATTGACAAGCACGGCAAAGAAAATGTTCCTTTGCTGTTTCCTATCTTTGAAAGTTACTTAAACAAAAAGGTATCTTCTTATTTCCAATGGATATTCAAATGCCTTTTACTGAACCAGGTTGGCGTGATTACTGAGTTTTTTTGTTCTTTTTTTTTCACTATACATACACGCACACACACACACATAGAGAGTGAGTGAGTGAGGGAGGTATCCTTGTCATATGCTTTATCTCATTTTGCATGTTGCTCAAATATATGCTGATGGTGGATTTCTTCTTATAACTTAATAGGCATCGGATGAAGGAAAATATGATCTAGTTAGAGAGGGTGTTGTTATATTCACTGGAGCCCTTGCGAAACATTTGGCAAAGGTTTGGCCCGATATTTCTTTTGATGGATTGAACTGTCATGGCTTTGATTTTTCTTCTTAGCATAAAAAATTATTTTTGAAACAGGATGATCCTAAGGTTCATACTGTCGTTGAGAAACTCTTGGATGTTTTAAACACACCTTCAGAAGCTGTGCAGCGTGCTGTCTCAGACTGCTTATCTCCACTGATGATATCAAAACAAGTAATTCGTTTTCATTTCTTGTAACTGAATTGAGAATATTTTTTTTTGGCTTTCCTTTTAGCCCTTCATGCTGTCTTACAGCAGTGTCTAAAATTATCCTTTTAGCGAGCAAGCATTTTTTATTGACCTTTATTTCTGTGGTGGGATTAGGAAGATGGTCAGGTTCTTGTTTCCAGACTTATGGAGCGGCTGATGAAGAGCGACAAGTATGGGGAACGTCGTGGGGCAGCTTTTGGACTAGCTGGGGTTGTCAAGGGATTTGGAATCTCTTGCCTGAAAAAATATGGTATCGTGGTTGTGTTGCAGGAAGCTTTAGTAGACAGGTTTGCAACTGTTATAATTTTGCTGTTGTTTGTATCTTTTTACTATTGTAACGCATTAAACATGTGCAGTTCGTGATGGTTGAATGCAGTCTGTTCATCTTGTTGATTACCTATGTCTTGTATGATTTGTTATTTTCACGTTGAAATGTAATGCTAAAGTTACCTGGAGCGGCCATTAAGATATCACTAAGGCTCTGTCTGGATTCCATGGTATTTTACTTGTTTCCATGGTGTTTTTGCCAAAAACAAAACACCATGTGTTTAAAAACCATAGTGTTTTTTGAGCTAAATCATCCTCAAACCAAAAACACAATGCTTATTTCGAAACACATTTTAGGTGTTTTAAGTTTGGTGTTCTGGTTTTGAGTTTGAGAAGGTGTTAATATAATATCTAAACATAATATATTAAATATAATTAATATAGAGTTATTATCAACATGCTTATTATATTATACTATACCATACTCTATTATAGTTAATTTAATATATTAGTAGTATTTATTAAATAATATAAAAATATAATAAATAAAATAAATAAAATATCTTATATAATAATATAATAACATATTAAATACCAATATTTAATATGTTAATAATGTATTATATAATAAATAAATAATAATAAAATATAAATAAACTAATAGAAAAAGTTATTGATAATTAATAATAATATAATAATGATATAATAATATACTATACAATAGTATAATCACTATAATATTATTAATAAAATTGTAATAAATTAATAATTATAAAATATTATATAATAGTAACATATTTAATAATAACATAACAATATAATAATATTATTATAATAACATATTGTATAGTAAATGTAATATAATATATAAAATATTTATATATTATGTAATAAATAATATAATTTATTATAAAGTAAAATAATTTTTAATAGTAAAATAATTTATTGCTAACAAATGTTAATGTAAAAATAATATATTCATAATATAATGATATTTATTTATATCATAAATACTAATATATTATTAAAGTACTATTAATAAACTCTAACATATCAAAAGCTATAATATATTAAATAATATTAAATAATATTAAAATATTTATAATATATTAGTTTATTAATAATATACTAGTATTAACATAATATTAACATTATTAATAATATTATATTTGTATAATATTATATTATATTAATAGTAGTATAATATTATATTAATAATAAAATAACATTATTATAAAAATATTAATATAATATACAACAAATAACAAATTGATATACCAAAGTAATTAAATATATAATTATTTGAAAATAATATGTAATAATAATAATAATATATAACTCATTAAAGTATAATATAATATTATAATACATTATACAATATTATATTGCATTATATTTAATACTTATACTACTATAAGTCTATAATAATGTAAACTAAATAGTATAACATTATATTTACAACATATTTTATTATAATTAATATATAACATATTAATAATATGTTTTATACTAATGTTATAATGGGTCAAACTAGTGTTGACCAAAAATACTTAACATGGTGTTTTGAAAACATTTTAAGGGAAAAACACAACACCATGTTGTTTTTTTACAAAAACACGAAGGAAAACACCGTGGTACCCAAACGAAGCCTCAGTTTTAAATTCGCTCTCTTTTTAGTTCATTTAAACCATGAAGATATTCTATGTTAAACCTTAGAGATCCTCATGCATTTCATGCCTCCTTCTATTGTATTTGACATTCAAGTTTTTATTTATGGAGTATTCAAGTCTTTTTGGTCAAAAGTTGAAATTTTGCATAACCTGTATTGTAGTTTTTGAAATCAATTGCTTGGTTGCTACAATTCAGCCACCTTCCTTTGTTTTCTAGTTACCGTATCATTTAAAAAGAATACCGCTTTCTTGATTTGTCTTTCAAGTTGAGGTAATGACTATTGACTAATTCTCGCAAAATCCAAACTTTTGTAAGAGTGTAGAAAGAAGTCATTGTTTATATCCCTGATTTCATGTTGCTAACTGTTTAATATTACCATCTGGGGAAAGATTGGCTGAGTTTTTCCATGTGGAAAATGTGAAATACCAAATCCATGGTCATGCATGTTCTCGTTTGTGGTTTGTATCAAATGAAGATGTATTTTTTTGTTTTCCTTGGGATAACTTTATGTCGGTTGGGAAGAGTTAAAGGTCATGTCTTTTGCTTCGCTATTTCATTTCTGTCCCTCAGTCCTTGTGCAAACAATGAATGGAACTTCTTTTATCGAGTAGTCAGCTTATCATTGATGGTTTACCTTTAACTGATCATTTTTTCTAAGCTGTCCTCTTTCGCTAAATAATATTTGATTTCTGTAGTCATTGACCTGATATGAACCTCCTTTGCACGGTCAGTTTCATGAAGTTTCATGGTTTGTTAGATAAAATAAATCTGATTCATCTCTACTATGGTCTATTACTAGAAGTCTAGAACTTCTGGATTTTTTTTTTATCTTTTGCCTATATTTTTGTAGACATATCGTAACCTTTCAACATCATATGATATGTCATTAAAAAGCTCTCTGCTAGGTGATGGTTATCTCTTTTCCTTGTTCTTCAGGAATTCCGCGAAATCACGTGAAGGAGCTTTGCTTGGATTTGAATGTCTTTGTGAAAAGCTTGGTAGATTATTTGAACCGTAAGAACATCTTTATCCCGATTAAATAACTTCTTTATCCCGATTAACTTTATCGCCAAGAATCTTCTCATCCTTTTGTGATTGTAATCTGTCTTTATGTCTCCAGATACGTGATTCAAATGTTACCATTGCTTTTGGTTGCATTCTCTGATCAAGTGCTTGCTGTTCGAGAGGCTGCTGAATGTGCTGCTCGTGCAATGATGTCACAACTCACTGGTCACGGAGTGAAGCTTGTCCTCCCTTCACTTCTCAAGGTTTTTTTTTAACTTTTTATTTTCAGATATTTTTGTTATATTTGTGTATGTCTCAGGCATTGGTCATATAGCCACATTTCCTTTTCATTATGATATTTCTCTCTATTCAGTAGTTCGTTCCGTATCCATCATACTATTCTTCAAATATGATATTTTTCTGATATCCTTAGATTTTCCAGCTGAGGTTCTTTACAAGTCTCCTGATGGTCTCTGTAATTATCATTTAATTAAGTAACAGTCATTCACAGAGGGTGATGTCAACATTGTCATGGAAATTCAGTCCCCCCACCCCCCTCCCGAGCCTCTGCATGTGTGTGTTGCTTTTTCAGGTGTCATGTGTGAAGTTCACAAATGGTTGGTGCAGTCAACTGGTTATTGTTAAGGTCCACATACACGTTTTTGAGAAGGTTTCTTCCGTTGCTTATAGCATTAGATTTGTACAGGGACTAGAGGACAAAGCATGGAGAACTAAGCAAAGTAGTGTGCAGCTGCTTGGTGCTATGGCATACTGTGCACCTCAACAATTATCTCAATGTCTACCTAAGATTGTTCCTAAACTAACAGAGGTTTTATTTGATTTTCCTCCAATCAAATTACTTATTTTAGCTATCCAGCAGTTATTTCTGAAATTAAAAAAATGGTGGTGATGATGGTGTGCATTTACTTTATTTATCCAGGTTCTCACTGACCCACATCCCAAGGTTCAATCAGCAGGGCAAACAGCATTACAACAGGTTATCCGTCTTGTTCCTGTGTATATGTCTATGCATGATATGTTATATCCGTTGTGAAGCTTGACACATACTATGTTCTTCAGGTTGGGAGTGTCATTAAAAACCCTGAAATATCTGCTCTTGTTCCCACTCTGTTGATGGCTCTCACAGATCCTAATGAGTGTACAAAACACTCTTTAGACATCCTTCTTCAGGTGAGCTTTCAGCATATAATCTTTAAAACCATTCATAAACTTCTTATTCATTTTAAACTTATATCTGTTTACTTGTCATATGCAGACGACTTTTATTAACTCGATTGATGCACCATCTTTGGCTCTACTAGTGCCCATTGTCCATAGAGGTTTAAGGGAGAGGAGTGCGGAAACAAAAAAGAAAGCAGCCCAAATAGTTGGAAATATGTGTTCTTTAGTTACCGAACCAAAGGATATGATTCCATATATTGGGTTACTAATCCCTGAAGTCAAGAAGGTATCGATCCTCCCTTTTCCTTTGGTTACCTTTTCCATTTATAAGGTTATTGGTTATTATTTCACAAATTTACTGAACTTGTGAACAGGTTCTTGTGGATCCTATACCAGAAGTCCGGTCAGTTGCCGCTAGGGCTCTTGGGTCTCTCATCAGAGGAATGGGAGAAGAGAACTTCCCAGATCTTGTTTCATGGTTGATGGACACACTCAAGGCTGACACAAGTAATGTAGAGCGATCTGGTGCAGCCCAAGGACTGAGTGAGGTAAAGATGTATTTTCTGTTATTATATTTTTGCTGTGATGCTTTCTATATGATCTTGTTCTTTTCTGGGTGATACCTTTTAATTTAAGTCTGTTTCCTGCTATGTTAAATTGCTATCTCATTTCCTGCAAATTGTCTATAGGGATGTATAGACTTAATATACTGTCATGATGTATTGTTATTTGTTATTTTATACTCGGTCAAGCTCCTCTTTTTTCTCTTTTATTTAGTCTCCTTGCTTATTTATGATCCGTGCATGCTACCAATAAGAATGCCATCGTATGGATCGGGTACAGAAAATGCAGCCTCAGCACCTAGAACTCACTTTTGTTGAAGTGCTTCCATGCTTTTAGGGTTTTAAAGTGCTTTTATGTGCTTTAAAGCGATTTTTTGAGTAAATAGCGCCAAGAATGCTTAAAACCACCAAAAGCAATAAAGCAAAGCGGCTTGGGACCGGCGGACCGCTTGCACTTTAAAATCCACTTAAGCAGGACTTTTTTGAGCTTTTCAAAACCTTGCTGCTGATGTTAGATTTTGTTTGATTAGAGCCTCTTCACCAAGTTTCTCTTGTTCCTGCATTGGCTATTCGTAGATTCTAAGTGACCAAAAAGGTTGAACCTGGAAATATATACCAGTTGAGTGATAGTACATGCGAACTAACTTACATGGGCCTAAAAGTATGCCATTATCCTTAATTACTACTCATGCAGGCTTAAAAGGTGATGTTCTGGAAAATAATTCATGGTTACTTATCATCATTACATGCTATTTTGATTGAGCTCAGTGGCATATGTTTTTATTTAAATAGTTCCTTGCATAATTAAGTTTGAATTTAATAAGAGTATTTCTCTCCAGGTTTTGGCTGCACTTGGGAAAGATTACTTTGAGCGCGTCCTGCCTGATATTATTCGGAACTGTTCTCATCAGCGAGCATCTGTTCGTGATGGACATCTGACTCTTTTCAAGGTGTATATGGACATATTCAACTCTGCTGCTATCTTTATCTTCTTGCATCTATATAACCTTTTCTCTTTATCTAATTATAATATTATTATGCAGTACCTGCCTAGATCTTTGGGTGTTATGTTTCAGAATTACTTGCAGCTTGTCCTTCCTGCTATTTTAGATGGTGAGTTAAAACCTTGTTTCTTCTGTGTTCTGTAATTTAGATTTTAACAATTTTCTCTTTCAGGGCTTGCTGATGAAAATGAATCTGTACGTGATGCTGCTCTTTGTGCTGGTCATGTCTTTGTTGAGCACTATGCAACGACGTTAGTACCTCAGAGATTCTGTATGTATTAGTTTGATCATGTATTGTGTTTATGGTAACTAAGTATCTGTTGTCAACTTGAACATCAAACTAGGTCGTTGCCTCTGTTGCTTCCTGCGGTTGAAGATGGCATTTTTAATGATAATTGGCGTATACGACAGAGTTCTGTTGAACTTTTGGGCGATCTTCTTTTCAAGGCATTCATTTTTCCTTTTGTTTTTCAATTTATTAAATTTAGAATGTGGGGATTTGAATCTTCAAGTGACATCTCATTTTCAGGTTGCCGGAACATCTGGAAAAGCTATTCTTGAGGGTGGCAGTGATGATGAAGGTGCAAGTACAGAGGCCCATGGGCGTGCTATTATTGAAGTGTTGGGCAGAGAAAAGCGTAATGAGGTTCTTGCTGCGGTGTATATGGTTCGCACTGATGTCAGCTTATCTGTGCGACAGGTAATGATGAGAGGTTTCTTTTTTCTGTTCTTGGAGTAATTGCTCAACGTTTGCTCTGCTGTTTGTCTTGAATTTTATCCACGTTATAGATTTTTAACCATGATTATTCCAAGTCCGTCATCTGATTCTCATCTGTTTTTACACGTTATTTCGTCAGGCTGCTCTGCATGTATGGAAGACCATTGTGGCAAATACACCAAAGACTCTTAAAGAAATAATGCCAATTTTAATGAACATACTTATATCTTCTCTTGCTTCACCTTCCTCAGAAAGACGACAGGTTTGCCTTTTTTTTATTTTTTTCTATCATCATCTTAGTATTCCATGGTAATAGTTTTATTCAGATTTATTATTAATATCTACTTTTCTTTAGGTTGCTGGTAGAGCTCTTGGCGAGCTTGTTAGAAAACTGGGTGAAAGAGTTTTACCTTCAATAATTCCAATTCTATCTGAAGGACTAAGGAATCCTGATATTAGCAGAAGACAAGTAAGTCTTCTTATTTTTATCGTGATAGTGTGCTTCCTAATTTGATCTTCTTACGTCATCCAAGTGGTAATGAGAAAAAAATGCACTCAAATCTGTTTCTTAATTTGATATTAACAGAAGACAAAGTAAGTCTTCTTATTTTTATTGTTATAGTGTGTTTCCTAATTTTTCTTAAGTCATCCAAGTTGTACTGGGAAAAAAGTACTGCACCGGTCCTGTTTCTTTAATATTCAGTTTGAACTCGTATCTTTTGTTTTCTACTTTTCTTTAGTTCATTTGATTTTCAAGAATCGTACTTTTTATGTCAACCGAGATGACTGTCTTTGTTTGATTTTTCTAATAATTCTTTCAGGGTGTATGCATTGGTCTGAGTGAAGTGATGGCAAGTGCTGGCAAACATCAGTTAATTAATTTCATGGATGACCTTATCCCTACAATTCGTACAGCTCTATGTGATGGGTGTGCTTTTCTTCCTCTAATTTCCTAGCTACACTAGTGTGTGTATTCCCCAAGTTCTTTGATGTGTTTGCACACATAAAAAGTAACATTTGTCTGATGTCAACAGCTCCCAAGAAGTCCGTGAATCTGCAGGCTTGGCATTTAGTACTCTATATAAGGTAAATTGATTGTATGATGTGAAGTTCTTCGTTGGAATATCAGATAAAAGTTTCAGGTGCATCTATTTTGATGCAGAGTGCTGGAATGCAAGCTATTGACGAAATTGTACCTACACTACTGAGTTCATTGGAAGACGATGAGACCTCTGAAACCGCACTTGACGGGCTTAAGCAAATTCTAAGGTTTTTATTGCAATTGATACTTTAATTTATCATTTCAGAGTTTGTTAACTGAGTACCCTGCACTGCTATATTTTCTAGTGTCAGAACAGCAGCCGTTTTGCCTCATATATTGCCCAAACTGGTCCATCCACCACTTTCGTAAGTGACATCCACTTTTAAACCTTTAATTTGGTTCTTAGAGACAGCTTGATAATTTTTATAATGCATCCGTTGTGAATCCAGTGCCTTCAATGCCCATGCTCTTGGAGCCTTGGCAGAGGTTGCTGGACCTGGTTTGAATTTTCATATTGCAACAGTTCTTCCACCATTATTAGTTGCTATGAGTGATGATGCTGTGGTAAGATGCCTCTACTCTATTATATTTAGATGCTTGATCATTCTTATTCAATGCATTCTCATTTCCTTCATTGTAGTTATGAACTATTTCTTAGTCTCTTTATGTAATCAACAGTAAATATCAAATATGTGCTTTAATATAACAAATTGGAGTTAATGTGATCTGACAAACAAGCATCACATTTCTTCCAATTCCTCAATATAACAAATTGAAACATAGCAAGAAGTAGAATATTTCAAGGTGTTCATGCCAATAGTGCAGCCTATTGTTGCTCCCTATCATGCCTCTGGAGGGTGCACACAAGGGACTGGTATTATTTTTCTATTGTATCTGGTCTTTCCCCTCAGAATTTTATTCTCTTTTAATTCAAAACGCATTGTTAATATCTGTTATAAGTTGCACGTTAACTCTGTGTGGTATCTTATAAAGAAAACAATTCACATCCCTTAAATTTGTTGAGATATTCGCTGAGCTATTGTTAGCTTTCATTTGTACCTGATCAGCAATGGGATGATATAGATTTTGGTTAGAATGCATTCACCTCTGTGAATCATTAAAATAAACGTGCTTCGTATGAGCAATGATGTTCATATCTTAAATCTGAATGGTAGGATGTGCAACAAGCTGCAAAGAAGGCTGCGGAAACAGTTGTTCTGGTTATCGATGAGGAGGGTATTGACTCTTTGATATCGGAGCTTCAAAAAGGGGTTTCAGATAATCAGGTTTTTTTTTCAGTTTTAAGTACTATTTAATTTTGTGTCTTCAAGGATATGATTTCACCACTCACCACTTTTTGTGCAGGCTTTGATGAGAAAAGGCTCTGCTTATCTAATAGGCTACTTTTTCAAAAATAGCAAATTGTATTTGGTTGATGAAGCTCCTCACATGATCTCCACATTGATCACTTTATTGAGTGACAATGACTCTGACACTGTCATGGTAAATCTAGAAAGTTACTGTATATGTTGTTCCTTTACATGAGATACTTACATTTTTTTAATTTTTTATAGGTTTCTTGGGAAGCCCTAGGTAGGGTTGTGGGATCTGTACCCAAAGAAGTTTTGTCTTCATATATCAAACTGGTCCGTGATGCTGTCTCAACCGCTAGAGATAAAGAACGAAGAAAAAGAAAGGTATGCTAATGGAATAACAGTTTTGATCATTTTTGTATTCACTATCACATAGTTGCAATTTTTTCCTTCCTGGGATTTACCTCTTGTCTGGATTCATCATTGTGCTATACAGGGAGGACCTATTCTTATACCTGGGTTCTGTCTTCCAAAAGCCCTGCAACCATTGCTTCCAATTTTTCTTCAGGTAATGCACTCGTATCTATTTGTTATAATTTCGATGTCTTTATAGTCATTTACTTGAATGAAAAAAGTTACTAGAGGAGAATATGGGCCACGAAAAATGTGAACTTCCTGAATTAGTGATTTCGACTGACTTATTTACCTGGGTATTTCTGTCTGAAGCTGTACCCGTACCCAACCCGTACCCGTATCTGTACCCGAACCCAGTGGACACTCCTTGCATGTATGCATACATTTATTTGGTCATGTACTCAATTAGATAATCCATTTTTAATTTAAAATACCTGTCATAAACTTATTGAGCATGTATCCTACCCTTCATATACTTTCTGAAACTCGTTTGACGTGGTCGGAATCTGAACCATGGTTTTAAAGAATCATTTGGGTGTCTAGTTCAAAATAAGTGGTTTTCAATGTATAAGCCACGTAATAAAAGAAGAATGAAAATATTATTGGGGTTTTAATTCTCACAACACTTGAATGAACAACATTACTGATCTCATATAAATTATTAATTCCAATATCAATATATATGTGTATAAATATTTATATAGCAATGTCCCTGTTCCTTATCTTTTACAAATTTGGCGAGTCCAGTATCTGTTTCCATTTCCATGCGATGTAGTCGACTTTACAAGTGTTTAGTTGGATTACAAATATGTATAAAGTTCTTATATGAAAGTAAACTGGCAATACACAGCATGATTATGGGAGTTATGGTTATGGGAGTTGGTGACTGTATTTGTCTAATACCTTTACTATGGTTTATAGAAATTAAACTCTTATGTCCTCTGAGCACATTAACTAGTGCTTTGTTTAACTTTGGCCTATGTGGTAGAAAGATTTTGCCTAGAATTAAGGCTAAGTCTTGCTGTATAAAATTTTTAAGAGTTAGTGTGTAGGACAGTAGGAGTTGGAGTGTTGTATTTGCATTTCAAAAAATAATTATGCAAATAATATCCTACTTTTTGGGAAGATCATTGACTTATAATTCCATCTCTGGGGTGGATTAAGCCTAACTCTAAGATTCCTTATTCCACTTCGCAAGATGGTCACCTCCAACTTATTCTGAGCAAACAAGGCCATAAACGTCTTAAAATCAGTAATTTATTCCAGTGTCTGTAGACATTAGCTATTTGAAAAAAGAAAAAGAAAAAAATCCCTTCCTATTCTGCATTTGCACTGGTCTGACTGTAAACTGGCCAGATTCTAATAAAATTAAAAGACCTACTGAAACATCAGGCAGTTGTAAATTTATGACTTGTGAATAAGATTATATTTCACTTCACAAAAGTGTACCATCTTTGCATTTAGAATGCATCCCTTATGCCTCACAAATTTTCTTCTAAAATAATTTGACATTTAGAATCAGTTATTGCTTTATTGGTTTGCACTATTTTATGGAAACTGAAATTGTGGCTCGCTATGTAGCATGACTACTTCTACCATTAAGCCATGCCTGTACTGAACACTTAAACACTTCGTTGAACACTCCTTGGATATGTGTGGGTAGTTACTTTAGTTTTGATTCTCGTTCTTTTTTGTTTCTCCTTGCTGATCTACTGTGCTTGATCATTCTTTTATGTTGCTTATTTATTTACTTCACTGTGTTGGATGAAATTGTGATATTATGTATTCTAAATTGATTTAACATTCTAGCTTCGATTCTTTTTTTTTTATAATTTCTCCTAGCTGATCTGCTGTGCTTGATCATTTGTTGTTGCTGATTTACGTACTTTTTTGTGTTGGATGAAAGTTTAAACTTTCTTCATTATGATATTATGTACTTTAAATAGATTTAACCTTTCTATTGAATGCATTCATCTATCCTGTATTAGGGCCTAATTAGTGGTTCAGCTGAAACAAGAGAACAAGCAGCGCAGGGATTGGGTGAGCTGATTGATGTCACAAGCGAGCAGACATTGAAGGAGTTTGTTGTTCCTATAACAGGGTATGACTTATTTATTATGTCTAGATATTATGTAATTCTTTATTTGTTGTAGGTAAAATGTTAATGGTCTACAAAACATGCTTCCATGTGATTAATCTTTTACTTCCAGCATCTTAGAAACATGACTGAAAGGTTTTCTACCTTTCTTGCCTTTATCCACCAAATAGTACGATCATTAACATTAGTTGAGCATGTTTTCTGCATAAGAGTTTCCTGCTGCTTATATGATGTAGCTCAAAAGCAAAACATAATCGAATTGATCTTAGATATTATATGTAACAAGTACCTCTTTGATATTAATAGCATGTTTGCCGACCTACATATTTTTACTTAAATGTGTTTTTACTTATAAGGTTCCACAATCATGTTTGGTAGAAGTTACTTATTCACTTATTTTTAATTTATAAGTAGCCAAAAAATAAGTTGGGATTTCCCAAGTTTTCTTTTGGGTACTTATAAGGAGATTTACTTATTGTTGTCAAAAGTCTACTTTGCCCTTAAAAAAAGTATTAAGTAACTTAGAAGGCTTCAAAAAATAAGTATTAGCCAGACATGCCTATTTCGTTCTAGCACAATGTTGCGAGAAATCTTAACTTGCAAAACATACATACAGGCTATTATTTTTTTGTGGTTGGTGGAGCTTGAGTGAGTTTGCTGATCCCCATTTGGAGATAAGCCCAAGTGGACTTCTGAGCCCATTGTCACAACAAATCTTACGGTGGGTTTGGATAGAGAAGAAGGTAGGGGAGGGGAAGGATTGAACTAAACCTAAGGAGAGGGGGAAGGGGAGGAAGGGAGTGTGATGAAACTAATTGTGTTTGGATAGGCAACTAGGGGATGGAGAGTGAGGGAGCGTGATAGAACTAATTTGTGTCTGTTTAGAGTAGAAAATGGGAAGAGAAGCGAAGCAGCATGACCAGTTCACTTAAAAAACCCAGCCCTTCCCCTCCCAATTCGTCCAATTTAGGAGGGTTGAGAAAGTGAGTGAATTTGATATGTTTTAACCCTCCCCTCCCCTTCCTTACTAAATATAAGTTGTATCCAAATGCAATTTGTAACCATCCAAAGCCTTCTCCTCCACTCCTGAAAAAACCTATCCAAACTCACCATTAAACTTCCATCTGAATGCCACTAAATATATTATGTTTATGTTACTGTATATCAGAAACACTATTTTAAAAAACCTCCGCCTAGTCCGTTTAGGTGTTCGCCTAGGCCTAGGCGGTACCTAGGCCGTCTAACTAGCGCCTAGCGTCTAGGCGGTATTTAGGCTGCGCACCTAGATTTTACGAGCGTTTAGGGAAGCATTGCCTGCTTACGTGGATTGCATCCTGTAGGTCTTAGTTGTGATTTTATGTGTTGTAGCCTACACGTCCTCCAAACGCCATTAACCTCCAAATATGAACACCTCCACTACCTCCTCCGACCTTCAACAAAACCTCATCGATCACCACTTAAATGAAGAAAGAAATCCGCCTAGACACCAGTCCGACATCTAAGTTTTCTGTAACATTGACATTCACTATCAATTATTGTAATTAAAAATAAAAAAAGAAAATATCTTAGGCTCTAGCCTTGTTGATTATTATTTTGGCTATTTAGTATCTAAGTATGCATGATTTATTGTGGGACTAAAATTACTATCTTTTTTTGAAAATTTATATGAATTTAATACATACTGTAATTTGAGTTGAGATGAACTTATAATTTGAGTTGAGAAGTAGAAACATACAAAGAGCTATTGTATATGGTAAACCAAGCAATTTAGTTAATAGTGTTGGTATTTTAGTATTTACGCATCTTTGATTAAGTATATATATATTTATCTTCAAGTATCACAATTAAAAAAAGAAAAAAAAAACGCCTAGAAACCGCTTAGGCGCCCGCCTAGACGACTAAGCACTGGGCGCCAAGTCCGATGCCTAGAAGCGCCTAGTGTTTAATGTAACATTGATCAGAAAGCTTGATAGCGTGTTAAAATTACTATTGTTTATTTTTCATTAAATTTAAGAGATGTGGAAGGCTTGCCGTTCAAACTAGTCTATAGGTTCTAGTCTTCTAGATAATCCAACTAGAACCGGGGAGAGGATGGTTATGTTATCAAACAAGAGATCCCCTGCATGCTAACGTATGCAACTGGAAACAAGAAAAAGTTCATTAATCCAAATTTTTTTTTTTGTGGCTGGTATGTTTCATTTCCATATGCAGTCAATGATTTTAATATATGAAGACCTAGCAGTGGTTTAAAGTATCATATGCTTTCCAAACATATCCTCAAATCTGGATGTGTCCAATGTTTTTCTTATAGCTAATTTAGCGGTTTCTTTTGATATACTTTTTTTGTTCTTATAAAGCATTTTCCATCAATGTCATTGTTATTTTTTTATTGCTAATCTGAGAAAAATGTTTTCCAAGAGTATGTGGTGTATATTTTTGCTGTTATTTGATAATGGCAAGTTCCTGAGTTTTCCATGTATCTTAGAAAAATAAAATAAAATAAAATAAAAAAGTAGTGTTATTAATCAAACTATTGCAAGGGCTGGTTTTGTTCGTATGTCGATGCATGTGCATGCATCTGATGCTTTGAACTTGCCAAGGTTATGTTAAATATTTGATCTGATCCAACATTTTGAATTTTGACAGGCCTCTCATCCGGATTATAGGCGATAGGTTCCCATGGCAAGTGAAAGGAGCCATTTTATCAACTTTGTCTATCATGATAAGTAAGGGAGGAATTGCACTTAAGCCCTTTCTTCCTCAACTTCAAACTACGTTTATAAAATGCCTGCAGGATAATGCAAGGTTTGTGAACTTCACATTTTCTTTAACTGTAGTTAAAAGGCTGCGTTCTTTCTTTTGCATGAACATAAATTACAATTGCAGGACTGTTCGCACGAGTGCAGCACTTGCTCTTGGGAAGCTTAGTGCTCTCAGTACTCGGGTTGACCCTTTGGTTAATGACCTTCTTTCAACATTACAGGTACTGCTTATATATCTCATCATGTAAGAAGAAAGCATTTGCCACGTGTTTTTAGGCAATTAAGGACCATAGGGTTATTAATTTCCTTCTCCCTTTGTTGTTTAGATCTACTGTTAGCTCTATTATTTCGTTAATGGTCTTCCTGTTGTTAATTTAACCACCATAAATTTGGTCTCAAATGCACTCACCCAGTCTATCTCATAGAACTATACATATTACATATCATTGATATTAGCATTCTCATACAGCTGTATTTATTATTGAACTTGTTTTCTTATTAATTGGCAGTAATCCTGAATCCTTATTTGTAAAGCACTACACTACACAAATAAATAAATAAATAATAAAAATAAAACTCAAATTTCATTTCTAGTCTATGATCATATTATATTCAGAAGCAGTTATCCACTTTAACCGACCCACTATGATTAGAGAAATGACATATTCAACCTCAAGATCTTTGTGTATGATCGATTATAAGGAGGGAAAATGATTTCTAGGTGCTTCATCACTGTCAATTTGATTATAGCCTCAGTCTATATCACAATCTGCTGAAAAATCATATGTCATTTTCGTCCTATATTTCTTAATCCTTATTTCTGTTGGCCTTTGTGATTTGGAAGTTTTCCCTTCTCTAGTTACTTCAACTAATACATCAAATCTATTATGTTTCCAGAGTTATCCCTCAAATCTGACTGTTTGCTAACTTACCACTGTATTCCTGATCATTGGGTTAAAATACCCTCTTAGTTAATTAAAACCATTTATTTCTAAAGATGAGAGGCTAAATGACAAAATAAACCCTCTCTCACTCCTACCTCTCCCTTTTTGCAAATCCTGACAAGTAACCATTTATGGATACACTAACTTTCAAGATATTTAAATTATTTTAACGGAAGATCTAGATATATTTTTGAAATAGTCCTTAACCAAAAATGAGAGGGTAATGTAGGAATAAATTAAATATGGAGATTTGGGAGGTAAATCTGCAAATAGGAAGATATGTGGGTATATAAGCAAAAGGCCTGCCTTATAATCAACATATAACACGCAACGGGATTTCGATATGAATATTCCTAGGCGTCTATCAAAACTAAATTGCTAACACAAAAGATGATGAGTAATTGTTGATCTTGTTGTAAGAATATGTTGAATCTGAGAATAATTTTCTTCCCTCTAGTTTCTCCTACATGTTAGTTTCCAATCATATGAATCATTAGTCGCACCAATCTATTTCTAGGCACTTCATTCTTTTGCAGAAATCTCATCATTTATAAATATATAGCAAAACACCTTCCACATTGTCTTCCCAGGAACTACATCTTTTTCATTCTTTTTTCTTTCTTTCTTTCTTTCTTCTTCTTTTCTTTTTTATTGTGCTAAGTTGACGACTAGACTTCGGCAATAAGTCTAATGGAACAAACCTAAAATTCTATATTCTCCAGGCATCGGTTGGTGGTGTCAGGGAGGCTGTGTTGACTGCTCTTATGGGTGTTATTAAGCATGCTGGGAAGAGTGTAGGCAGTGTCATCAGATCTCGAGTGTGCATTCTCCTAAAAGATACAATACAGCTGGAAGATGATGAAGTGCGGGAATCTGCAGCTAAAGTGATGGGTGCCATATCCCAGGTATTAATTATCACATATTTTGTTCTAGTTGCACAATCTGGCTTCTTGGAATATTTTGATTGTTAGTAATATTTCATGCTACGTGCTTCTTTGGAGAATACCTTTCCTGTGTAATTTTCAATTTATCTCCTACGTCTGGATCATGGTTTATTCATACTAAAAATCATTTTGCTTGTCATAGCATTGATGAACTTTCTGTTATGGTATATCATGGTTTATTCATACTAAAAATCATTTTGCTTGTCATAGCATTGATGAACTTTCTGTTATGGTATATTGTTTACCATCGACAAACTCTTTGTCATGGTATATTGTTTATGGAATTTTCTGCTTGATACATGAAAAACATGTAACCAATTTCATTACAGAAAATCATGAAAACTATCTAGAACATTCTTCAATGCCTTGACGAATTTGCATTGTCTCTGTCACAGTACATGGAAGACACAGAACTTTCTGACCTTCTGAAGATGGTCTCCAGCTTGAGTATATCATCGAATTGGTCAATTAGGCATGGTTCTATGCTTACATTGTCTTCCATGGCTATGTACATCCCAGCCATGATATGCCACTCTTCCCAATTTCCGTCGCTCGTTGATAATCTTAAAAATTCTTTGAGGGATGATAAGGTATGGCTTCAACTATTAAGTTAGATATGGTTATTCAGTGAGTGTCTTTTATTTGACTCTTGCATTTTTTTTTTTTTGTAACAGTTCCCTATCCGTGAATCTGCAACCAAGGCAATTGGAAGACTCCTTATTTATCAGATCCAACTTGAGGCTAAGTCAAAAACTTCATTGGAACTTCTTCAATTACTTATTTCAGCTTTGCAAGACGAGTCCAGTGATGTCAGGAGAAGATCTTTATCCAGCATAAAGTCTGTTGCGAAGGTTTGCGGTTTTCCTCTTTATATTAGGACTGAAATTTGTAATTTCGATGTTTTTCTTCTGAAAGTTGTTTACATCTTCTGAACAGGTAAATCCTTCAGCCATTTCTGCCAACCTTTTAAATTTGGGTCCAGCTGTTGCTGAGTGTCTTAAGGATGGGAACACACCTGTTCGACTTGCTGCAGAACGTTGCGTCCTGCATGTATTCCAATTGCCTAAAGGTAATTAATATATGCTCTTCCTCACTCTTATTAATTTATTTAGTATTTTTAAGATTTTAATTATCATCTTTTTTTTTATAAAATTTATGATCAAAATAAAGTGGGTTAATTGCAAGAAACAGGATACTAAGCAACATTTACAGCAAGCTTTCAACTTGTGTAAGACATTTTGTTTTTTGTATTCTGAATTGCAAATGAGATCTGAATAATCCGTGCAAGGAGATGTTGAGTATTCACTTTCTAGGTTTATAATTTTATTTACATATCCCATCAAAACGGTTTTGGCTATTATAGATTAATTGAAAATAGACTGGATCTTGACCATAATTTATAACAAGCTACCGAGTTGAGGTAAGACATGTTACTGTGTATTCCGAGTTGTAAGTGAGATTTGAAATAATCCGGTGATTCCGGTGCAAGAAGATGCTTTTGAGTATTCAGTTTCAAGGTTTATCTTTATCCTAATAAATGATGCTTTACTGTAGTTTTTATTTTGTGTGATTGGATAAGGACACTCAGAATACAATTCAAAATATTAGCCTACAACGACGTCAACAACAACAACACAACAGAGCCTTTATCCCAAATGTTCAAAATATCAGCCTATATGAACTATATATCGGCCAGTATATTTTTTGAAGGGTCCGCCACGACGATGATGTGGAAAATATGGAAAATGAATTGGTCATTCCATTGACATCACATTGGTCGATATCTTGGTTACTGGCATCTATAGCGGTCTGGTATATCTTCAGTAATTATCGACAGATATGGATCCTATGAAACATTAGGCTTTAATTGGTAGATTAAAATTTGTAAGAAGAACATCTATCTATCCACCTCAGTTCCATTCACTCAATAAATTCAGGCTCATCATTCTCTTCCTTTGTTCTGACTGGTTTAGGTTGCGTTCTTTTCCCAAAGTTTACTTCTTCCTTTTGGTGTTTTTTTCTTTTCCATCATGATGACATAAATCTTTGTTAAGATTTAACTGTTGGTAAACTCTTGTGAAATATAATTCTAAGTTGGTATCATTCTTTTATGTCTCATATTTTTCTGCTCTCTTTTGCAGGTGCAGATAATGTTGTTGCTGCCCAAAAATACCTAACTGGCTTGGATGCTAGGAGGCTTTCGAAGCTTTCTGAGGACAGGTATTAACCTCTATCAACTATGTTCCTCAATATTATTGGCTTTGGGAGCAACTTTTATTACAAAAAGAATTGTCCTCTTGGAGTAACTTAGCTTGATTATAATCCGCTAAGAGGATAATTATTCATGTTTGGTGAATGGTTAATTTAGTTTGACCATTAATAACTATTGGAAAAGGAAGGTGCACATCAATTTGATGTAGTTCATAGTGATTTTTTTTTTGTGAGGAACCTTTGCCTTGATGCGAGCCCGAGTGCCTGGGCACCCCTTTCACAATCCACACGGTCCAGGCTAGGTGAATAGCACAAGTGTTGCGATACCTACTAATTAGAAATTGGGGATAGGTATAATGCCATAGACACGGATCAATCCTTAGCCTTTTGAGCCAAGGCCTCAAAGCCCCAACCACTAGTCCACTCGCCGGGGGTTCACAATTACATTGTTATTCATTGAACATGGGCCTATTAGGCTGCTTTCAAATGGAAGTAGCTTAAATAAGTGAACCAGGAATTCTGTGGAAATTATGTAAACGGGCATTAGTTGAGATTCTTGAGAAGCTAGAGAGGCTTTTTAAAGTTTTCTTCGCATTTCTTCCCTGTTCTAACGATTCCCTTGGCGGATAAATGCAGTGATGATAGTGACAAGAGCGACGATGATACAGGATATACTTGATACTATTGTGAACAAGTTTTAGTGTAATCAGAGGACCAGAGACCCATCATGATGGAATTTCCGGCATCTGGGAGATTGCGGTTCTCCACTTTTCCTCGATACAGCCCTTGCCTTAACATCTTTTGGAGGCTGTGATGAGCTTGCAGGGGCGAGATTTTGATTGAAACCAACCCGGCATACGTGTTTTGCAACAATACACTATACAAAATATAAACTGAGGGAAGCCATTGAAAAGCCATGATAAATTTTCTTCTTGTTTTATACCTTCTGTTTTGTGTGTTTTGCATCTCTTAGGAACAGAGAGCAAGAAGTAGTAGCTGTTCATCCTTACCCACTTCCAGAATCTTGAGCCCAAGCAAGATATGAAATGTAGTATATAAGATTTGTTCAAGATGTGTGTTTCTTGTTTTGTTTACCATCAACTCATTTTGATAACACTGTCGTAATTTCTATCGTTGATGTTTCTAAATCGTGTCCGTTTGCCCCCTTCACTAATCATTCGATTCCTTGTTTGACCTTGTTAAAGTCTGGGGTTAATTGCGATTACACCCCATGTAGTATGACCCAATTGCGAACAGATCCCTCCTCGTTCTGGTTGTGCAATTATTTGAAAGCAACCTTTCTCTTTTCACTCTTAAAAATCATTAAAATTTTGAGGTGGCAGATCGATCCCCCATGGTTGTCAACTTCTAACGAGGTTGAGCAATTTCGAACACGTTCGCATAGTTGGAACACGGGAAGACTCCTCATTTAAAAAGTTGTTTTGATGTTGCACGTTGCCTGAACTTTCTAATTTATGTACCATCCGTCCGCAGAATCCTTCTCATCTTTTCGTCATTATTCTTTGCGGAACAAATTGGGGACGGAATGAGATCTGTAAATAAATTATCAACCATCAGGGATAGGGACTGTATAGCCTCCATAAATTGAAAATTAAAGACGGAAGTCAAGGGAATCTTGCTTCTGGAGTATTTCTCATTCCAAGGTCAATATAAAATGCTGGGAGATGGTGTACTATATGTTTTGAGAAAGTCGTGTGCTGTCTCCTTCTATGGTCAGCTATGTTTAATTATTTGTAATGTCTATATATCTAAGTTCAGCTGTCAAATTGAGATTATTTAATTTAAATAGTTTCATGCTGACTTTTAAGATGAAGGAACCAAGAAAAGATAGTTTAACAAGAAAAGTGGTATTTGTTTTTGCTGTAAGTTGTAAAGTAAAATTAAGGAAGAAGAAATTTTCAAAACCGACCCATTTTTTATTATTATCAAAATCGACCTATTTTTTTGTCACGTCAGCTTAATCTCATTCTTAAACAGTCGGGGTTGGCAACCCCAACTGTTTAGGAGGTTGTTAAACCCCAGTTAGAAGCCTTAAACTTGGTTTTTGCTGTTCTATATAGTCGGTGTTGGCAACCCCGACTATTTAGGAAATGATATTATGTTTAATCCAATCTCAAAATTGTTAAACATAATGTTGTGCTCTAATGGTGCAATTGTCAATTCTTTGATGTGGTATACAAATTACGAAGTTATAGCGTTCCTTTAAAAACCTTTTAGAATTACATTACTACCCCCCGTGTTTGTTTTGTCAAATTTCACATGCCGTCCGCGTCTCTGTGGTCGTTGGTTACTGGGTATTCTTGCCGTCTAAGCAACATGAAAGAGAGCAGAAACCAATAATGATTTTCTTTTCCTTTTTCTTTTTTTTGGGGGGGTGGGAATAAAATATTAACCAAACAATGTATGCTAGCCAATCATTTTGTGGGACCATTCATGCTTGGATGCAAACGTATGTATGCCCAATTCACTTAATTCCGAACAAATTTATTTCATTAGTCAATTTGAATATTAAACAATGTTTAGATTTTTGAGCATAATAGATTAGAATTAATTAAACTGACTGAACTAACCAAAATTCTACGGTCCTTTGGTTTTATAATATGTTAATAAGTACTGTTTATTTCGTTTCAAAAATTTCTAATACGAATTGATTGCTCTCTCGATTATCTTTTCTTTTTTCTCCTACCGACCCATAAAATTTTCTCTCTTTTTTCTTGAACTATTCTATTATTATTTTTATGTAATTGTTGGTATCCGTTGATTCGTTTCCGTCATTTTTCACCAATCTTTTTGTCCGTGTTTTTTCCTTTGGTTAAAATTAATCATTTTCTTTAACTAAATGGACTGCCTAACTGATTAGATCGAATTGAAGTGCTCCTCTAGGATGTGTACGGTTCCAAGTCTATAGTAGTTTGATTGAAATGACTCTTTACTCGTACTTAATTTACCAAATTTTCTAGTACTAACAAATTGTTTTTTTTAATTACAGGACTAGAGTGTTTGGCAATCGTGACGTTTTTGTCGTTTCTGTTTTTATTTTCAACAAAAATAATAAAACGCGTTTGGCAACTGGGGCGTATTTTTGACTTGACCTTTTATAAAATCCAAAATATAAACACTTTTCTCAAATCACCAAAAAGGTATTTTGAGATTCCGTTTTTTCATCTAAGCCGCCGTCGATTACCAAACACATTGTCGAACTTGCCGAGGACTTATTCCTCTGCTTAATTTGCTGCATACAAGTTAGGAAGAAGCCATTTTTTAATTAAAAAAATGTCAAAAAGAAACAAAGTAAGAATAGTCAATAGAAGACTCCTCTTCCTCTTTCTCAAAATAAGTTCAAAGCACAACTTTATAGCTCAAACTACCAAAACCATATCCGTCTTCTATCTATTAATTAACAAAAAAAAAAAAACCACGTCCATTTAAATGTCATTACATGAGAAAACAAAAGGGTTTGGAATATATTTAGTTTCTACCCGAAGTCAAAATCTCTACTACCACTGCAAGACATAAGCAGCAAGGTAGGTAAATTTCTACAGATAAATATCTTAATCTAGAAAAATGCTTGAAATTCTTTATATTAATTTCTGTTTATAAACTCTATAAATATGAATCTTTTTGATAAATTGTCTTAAAAAAATTTAGAATGTATGAATCTTTCCTTCCATCTAGCTCAATATTATATTAGTAATTGGAGAGGATCCAGATTCTTACACTTTTGTTGAATTGATTAACTCTTTTTCTTAATTTCTCTTGATTGTATATTAGGGGCTGTTTGGTTCGCTATTATAAGGGGTGGAAAACTCAGAAAACCCCTCCACGTCAGATTTTTAGCCTCCACGTCAGCTTTTTTGTTTCCGTCTATTTCTTTGTGCCGCTTTGGTTCGCTCGGATGGAAGAGGGAAAACTCTGCTAAAATCGCCGCCAACTAAGATTTTTTTTTCCTCTCCGATTTCCTTCCCCAACCAAGTGAAATTGATGAAAACTCTGCCACGTCAGATTTTTTTTCCTTCTCTGCTTTGTTTACAAAAGTTTTCCTTTTTTTTTCTATGCGAACCAAACATAAGAAAAATAAATACATTGGTTTCCTACCATTTTTTATGTGCGAACCAAAGCAAAACAATCTATTTCTTGGAAAAGTTTGGAAAACTCAAAACTTGTGTTTCTTTACATGGAATTGTATTTCTCTATATCAAGGAAACGAACCAAACAGCCCCTTACTATTCGAGATAGTAACATATATACATTTTCTTGATATCATATCTTCTATATTAGGTAAAATATAAACTTGTACTAGGTAGTATATGATTCTTATTTCCTACATGTTATTGAGGACTATCATATTGTAAATATATTTGGCCATCTCTTCACTTGTGATGGTATCATGAAACTATCAATAAATATTGTTTTCCTCTAATTCTGACAACTACAAAAGGAAAAAAAATGCATTTCAAATAGGAGACTAATTAAAAAAAAGGGGGCAAACTAAAATGCAATTCCAAAAGAACTTCAGCTGGAAAATCTTGCATCGCTTCTACAAAACGTACATTGTTTCATAAATTCATTCTTTTGCATGGTTAGTAGGGAGTGCATTAACATTTTGAAACTCCACGGGTTCGTAAATAATCACACTCAAAACCTGGGCAAGGAAGTATTTTTCCAAGACCTTTTTTTGCCCTTCCATAAATAAATAAAGGGAAAAATGCTTCCAGCCCCCAAAAGCCAAGTGAACGTGCTTCCCACCCTCAAGACTTGGTCAATGGGCGTTTTACCCCTAAAAATAAAGAATCTGTTCTCTGAACCCCCAAAACACAAAACCCAAGACATTAAAACATGTGAAGACCATAATACCCTTCTCTCTCTCTTTCTTTTTTTTATTAAAATATGATGAGGATTATTTTATTATTTTTGTTTTCTCTCTCTCTTTATCATGATGTACCAAGAGGATAGTTGAAATGATTGATGAGGATTATTTTATTATTTTTGTTTTTTATTATTTTCGTTGTTTGTATTGGGATGTTGTTAAAGTTACGGGTTAATTGTTAAGGTTACGAGTTAATTGTTAATGTTATGGGTCAATTGTTAAGGTTATGAATCCTCTCTCTCTCTCTCTCTTTTTATTAAAATATGATGAGGGTTATTTTATTATTTTTGTTTTTCTCTCTCTCTATATCATGATGTACCAAGAGGATAGTTGAAATGATTGATGGAGATTATTTTATTATTTTTGTTTTTTATTATTTTGGTTGTTTGTATTGGGAGGTTGTTAAAGTTACAGATTAATTGTTAAGGTTATGAGTTAATTGTTAATGTTACGGATCAATTGTTAAGGTTATGAATCCTCTCTCTCTCTCTCTCTCTCTCTCTCTATCATGATGTTTCTTTGATGATATTGAAATGATTAAAGAGGATTATTATTTTATTATTTTTATTTTTTATTCTTTTTGTATTTTTAGAATATTCGTTGTTAAGGATAATGATTGGTTGTAAATGTTATGCATTGATTGTTAAGGTTACGGGTTGGTTGTTAAGGTTAAGGGTTTGTTGTTAAGGTTATGGGTTTGTTGTGTAGGTTACGGATTTGTTGTTAAGGTTACGGGTTTAATTATTAAGGTTACGTGTTTAATTGTTAAGGTTACGGATTTAATTGTTAAGGTTACGTATTTAATTGTTAAGGTTACGGTTTTAATTGTTACGGTTACGGTTTATTAATTGTTAAAGTTACGGTTTAATTGTTAAGGTTACGAGTTTAATTGTTAAGGTTACGGGTTTAATTATTATGGTTACGGTTTTAATTGTTAAGGTTACGGGTTTAATTGTTAAGGTTACAGTTTAATTGTTAAGGTTACAGTTTAATTGTTAAGGTTACGGTTTAATTGTTAAGGTTATGGGTTTAATTGTTAAGATTACCGGTTTAATTGTTAATGTTACGGTTTAATTGTTAAGGTTACGAGTTTAATTGTTAAGGTTACGAGGGAGAGAGAGAATGGATCCATAACCTTAACAATTAAAACCGTAACCATAATAATTAAACCCGTAACATTAACAATTAAACCCGTAACCTAAAGAGAGAGAAAACAAAACTAATAAAATAATCCTCATCATATTTTAATAAAAAAAGAAG